AGCCTCTTTACTCTGTCTTCATTGACCTGACAAAGGCATTTGACACTGTAAACAGGGAGGCGCTCTGAATCATCCTGAGACATTATGGAGGCCTGAGGAAATTTATAAAGTTGATTCAGCTACTTCATGATGGAAAGACAGGACGGGTTCTTCATAACAGTGATACACCAGCTGCATTTGCTATTTCCAATGGGGTAAAACAGGGTTGTGTGGTAGCCCCAGTCCTGTTCAGTCTGTTCTTTGCTTGCATGTTGTCATGTGCTGTCCAGGGTCTGAATGAGGGAGCGTACATCAGGTACTGATTGAATGGCTCTCTTTGACCCTCACTGCTTGAATGCATGGACGAAGTGCCTCCTTATAGTCATCCAAGAAACCCTCTTTGCTGATGACTGCGTGCTCCTGGTGCACAAAGACAGTGATCTATGGTTGATGCTGAACAAATTCTCAGATGCTGCTATGTTCTTTGGCTTGACTATCAGCCTGAATAAGACTGAAATACTTTACCAGCCTGTGCCAAATACCAACCCCTAGAACCAAAAATCACTGTTGACGACATCCAGCTGACAAATGTAAACAGCTTCAAATATTTGGGATGCATGATCTCGAGCGATGGGTCTTTGGACAAAGAAATTGACTCAGCAAGGCCAGCCAGGCACTGGGGTGGCTGCGTACTAGAGTGCTCAATCAACACAACATCTTCACAAAGCTGAAAGTCTACAGAGCTGTGGTTATCCCTTCTCTCCTATATGGATATGAGTCCTGGACTCTATACTGAAGGCACATCAAACAACTGGAGAAATTTCACATGCATGCTCTCTGCTCCATCCTCAGCATTTTTGGCAAGACTGTGTCTCCAACCTGGAGGTCTTGGATCACGCAGAGTCCACCAGCATTGAGTCCCTGATTATCAGAGCCCAGATGTGGTGGGTGGGACATATAATTATAATGGATGACCACCGTATGCCTCACCAGCTGCACTATAGTGTACTGGAGTCTGGGAAGAAACCTTGAAGTCGACCACACAAGCGCTACAAAAATGCTATGAAAGAAACCCTATGCTACTGTGACATCCAGCCAAGAGAACTAGAAGCTGTAGCTGCTGACAGAACCCACTGCCAAACCCTGTGCTATGAAGACAGGCACTGCCAAAAACTGATAGAAAACCGTGAACGATGTCATAGAATAACACCCACAGTTACCTCAACAATGGACTTCCAGTGCCTCCACTGTGTTAGACTCTGCGCTTCCAGACTGGGACTGCAGAGCCACCTCCATGTCCACAGATGAACTGCACAACAGCGTGTCTTTTTCAAACCCGAAGGACTACCATATACTAATGTAACCCAATTACATGTGCCCTAAATTAGGAGTGCAGTAACTTTAATTTAGCCTGGCCCATGGTCTTGGGTTTTTTTACTACCTTTTTCAAGATCTAGCAGTATGGATTTATATTTTGGGACAATTTTAACATAAATTGGATGCGCCAAACCTGGAGTGGCAAGTGCAGCACTTACTGCATAACTGCAATCCTGGACACCTGTCAAAATTCTCAGCCCCTCCTAGATATTAAGCTTTTATCTTGCAGGGTGCAAGCAATAGAATCTCATCCTGTAACAGAAACAACCTCTTTGTTCTCTTTGCCTAGAAGGCCCTTGGGCTTTATGTGAGCCCATAAAAATTCCTCAGAGGAAAAAAAAGGAGAGTGAGAATGAAGACAAGACTTACACTTTATTCAAGCCAATAATGAAAGTAAAAATGGAGTTAGGAAAGCCAATAGGAGAAAGAAAAATTCTTCAAAGAGAAAGTAGTTAAAGAAAAGTCAAGTAGGTCAAGGTTGGATGCACAACCCCCATCCCACCCATGCCACAGATCATCCAAAAGCACGACCAATGCCATTTCTGTCCCATACCCTGGTCTGAATCCTGACTGAAAAGGATCCAGATAATCAACTTCATCCAAGGTTCTCTGAAGCTGCTGCTCAACCACCTTCTCAATCACCTTCCCCAAAAAGGGGAGGTTAGATACTGGACAAAAATTGTCCAGTATAGTGGGGTCCAGCGATGGCTTCTTGAGGAGGGGGCGAACAAAGGCCTCCTTAAGAGCTAAAGGAACAACTCCCTCACTCAAAGAACTCACTATTATTAGAACCCACTTGCACAACAACCCTGGCTTACTTTAATAAGTAAAGGCATGGATCTAAAAAGCAGGTGGCTCAGCTCACAGTCCTAAGGACCCTATCCACTTCATCAGGCCCAACAGGTTCAAACGGTCCCCAGATAACCAGGCAAGACTCCTCCCCAGGCATCTCCCCAGGACCTGCAACAAATCCAGCATCCCACTGTGAGCGAATTCAAACGACTTTGTCTGACAGATGCTGAACAAATTCTTCTGCATACCCCTGCAGGGGGTTCTCCAAGCCCCTTCTACCCAAGAGGGCATGTGTCACCCAAAACAGAACCCCAGGACAGCTATCCACAGACACAATAAGGGCAGAGAAGTATGTCTTAATAGCAGCTCTAACCCTTGTCCGGTCGAGTTAGTCTCCCGTAGAATGCCAGCAATGCTCTAGACGTCTCTTCTCTCATTTCATTTTCCTCAGTTCCTCCATGAACCACAGGGAGTGACAGGATCCATGAGAGGGGAGAGGTGTGATCCGATCTAAAGCCTCAGCTGTCCTCTTATTTCAAGCGGCAATGAAGGCTTCAGATAGACCATACAGCAAGCCAGTAGGAACAACTCCCAGCTCCCTCTGAAACACATCTGGTTCCATCAGTTGTGGGGGCGGACTGATCTAATGGGTCCAGCTTCCCTGCGGTGAATAGTGGTGCCAGAGAATCCCATGGTAATCAGGGCATGATCTGACCATGACAAAGGGGACACCAAAAGCTCCCCCAATTTCAGATCACATAGTCACTACTTCGACAGGAACACCAGATCCAGTGTTTGACCACTGCCCCATGTTGGGCTCTGGATGACCTGCGATAGGCCCAAGGCTGTCATCGTCCTGAGTCACCTCAGACCTCACCCCCAGAGAAGGCAGACTGAAGTCTCCCAAGACCATAAGTCTGGGGAACTCCAAAGCCAATCCAGGGATGGAGTCAAGGAGCTCAGGCAGGGAAGTTGCTATGCAGCAGAGAGGCTGGTACAACAGCAACAATCCCAACTGATCCCGAGAGTCCAACTTAATGAACAGAGTCTCACCTCTGATGACCTGTGGTGCAGCGCCCCTGAAAGCCATAAGTGAATCCTGGATGACAGTTGCCACACCTCCACCCCTGCTCTGGAGTCTCGGCTGCTGCTGCACCCAAAACCCAGCTGGGCATATCTCTAAAAGGGCTATCCCCTCTCCTGGGCCCAGCCACGCCTCAGTAATACATGCCAGGTCAGCTCTTTCATCAACAATTAAATTGCAGATGAGGGAGGCCTTATTGCAGACCGACCTGGCATTTAGCAGGAGCAGCAGTAGCTGGAATCCAGGGCCTCTGAAGATCTGCCGCCCAGGTCCAGGGACTTAGACAAGGAGCTGGAAAGCAAAACCAGCATAAAACACCAGCCCTGCATTCCCCGAGAATGGCCCACTCTTTGTCTCCTGCCTTATCTCCCCATTCCCATCACCACCATAATGCTTTGGCCCGCCCATATCCCCCCAGAGGCCATATTATCCTCTGATCTACGCCCCCTAACTCCCAAGGCCGGGGACCTCCCATAGTGCTCAATCCCTTCCCCCACAGGGAGGGGAAGCCAGGCAACTCGTGGCACTTCAGTTCCAAGGCTCTCAGCACCATCAGGGTACAGTGACCATCTCCCCCACTCAACCCACAAACATACACACAAATACCCTCACACTCACAGGAACCCCTTCCCTGCTGTTCTCACCCACTAGTAAGGGTTCCCTTCCCATTCACTCCCACTCAAACAATCTCCTCCTCTGGCTCTCACCCAGAGGAGGAAATCACACAATCAAATCAAAGGCACCTAGCCAGCAGATGGAAACATACTGAGTGATTGTCTCATCCCTCTCTAGGGCTAACAGAGAGAAAGGCAAAATGGGCTCCCTGGGGGGGGCGAGGCGGGGGGTGCACAGAAGACAGCCACTCTGCTTCTATCCCCCTCCCAACCTAGCCACCGCCAATACCCCAAAGCTCTAGAGTCCTGGTTGGTCTGTTCCAATGAAAAGTTGCATAAAGTCAGATAGTTATTATGAGGCCCATTTAATTGATCTCATGAGACAAACAGCCAGGTGGCCCATGAGATCTATGTGAGCATCTTCAAGCCCCTGGGCACCATAATGAGGATCTGAGACTTGTATTCTTATATTTAGATTTATAATTGTTCTTAAAAGAATTGATCTTGTTCTGCCACGTGCTTTGAGGTCTGCAGCTGGGCTCAACCACTCCTCTATCCTGATCCTGTTCATTCTTTTTCACTTGCTGAGAAAAAGAGAAGCTCCTGCCTTTGTTAACAAGAGTATTCCTTGAAATTCTGTAACTCTATGGATAGAGATTTCAGTGGCCTTTAAGGTTTGGACAGAAAAAGGAATTCCACTGAACTGCATGCAGAGCTAGGTTTTGCTTAGCTAATGATATTTTTCTTTCTTCATCTGTCCAAATATGCATGCATTTCTAAAGAAGAGTTCTCAATGTCGGGTAAGAGAGCAGGATTCATTTTGACTGAAACTTAAGAGTCACAGCTAAGCTAGCTTTTGGACCCTTACTGATTTGGATTGATGGAAATTGGAAGCTTTTTAAAAATAAGGCTTGCCATGTCATCCATTTATCTAAATCACTTCACTAGATAAGAGGAACAGAATGTCAAACTCCCTCACATCATCTAGGTATAATCTAGATGACTCTGCACCTTGCTCATTTGGGTTTTTTTTCCTTTCCTGGAGTTTCTTTGAAGAACTCTCAACATTTTCCACTGACTGTCTGGCCCCCTGCCTGGGACAACCACAAGTTCTGCTAGTCTCCTCAGCTCAAGGCTTTAAGTAGCTAAAAAGAATTGTGGAAAAGGAAAGGAGCCTGTATTAGAATAGGAAAATTTAGCAGGTTAATCAAAATCTCCTTTAAACTTAAGCTTCATGGACAAGTCCATGTAATTTTCTTGGCACAATTCAGAAGTACTTTGCCATTGTCTTCCAGGTTTATAACAACAATAATGATGGCAAAACCTTTATATCCTAGGAAACACAGACAGATGGCATCTTCCACTGAAACTTCTATACAGACCCCATCGCCTATTTTACAGATGTCCTGGATGTTTGTTTACACATTTTATAAAATTTGACAAACATATCAAGGGGATCTCTCTTTCATTTTAGGTAAGCAGTTGTGCATAAAAAAGTTCAGGAGAATAGGATGTTCATTTGGGGGATGGGGAGGTAGAAGCTGCAACTCCAAAAAAACAAAACAAAAACCAACCCTCAAAACAAGTGACCTGTGAACAGTCCAAGAGAGTCCACGAGGACGTGCTTGGCAAAAATACCCTAAAATTTCTTGGCACAGCTGATTTAGCATAAGTGCCCTTAAAGGACAAACTCTGAAACTGGACTGTATAAACGAAATCCAAAAGATGTATATTTTGGCACCAAGTCTCTGTTTCATCCAAAATGTTTACTAAACAACATAATCCCTAATTAGAAAAGCCTTCTCCCAAATCCCATTGAAATTAATGGAGCTATGCAAACCATAGCTAGCACACAGTTCTCACTCAAAGCAGCAATGCTTGCACAGGGCAGATTCTAAGGGGGTACATTTCAAGTTCCTTGCTTTGCAAGAAAATGTCTCCAAGAAATAACAAGAGGAGGATCTAAGTGGGAATCAATGCAGTGCTTTAACCAGAAAGCCCTATTTTCATATTCTGCACTAATGTTTCAGGTAGGCATGCAAAGTGGAGACGTCTGTAGCATCTGTAGGTCAGTTGATCACTTTCTGAATTACTATGAGAGCTTGCTAGTGGAACCTGACAATCTATAGCAACAGCAATAGCAATCTGTCAGTTCAGTACTTTACTGAAGATTCCCAATAATATTGTGCAGCAGCTTACAAACTCAATATGGAATTGGCAATGAAAAGGGCTAGCAGGATTCTACCTAGTCCTGTTAAAATTGCTCCAGACTTGCTTTGGATTCTGAGAAATTTATTTTTTTAGGTCATGGATTGAGTTACTCTCAAACTGCCCATGTATGACCAGCAGTTTGACTGCTTCTCTTGCCTCCAGACTACTAGTCTCACACCCCTGGATAAAAGATTAAGCTCTCAGTTCCCAGTTCTTACCAGAATTGTGGAGGTCTTTCCACCTTCCAGAGTAATCTCCAGATCAGAAAGGGCAGCATCAACTTCATCAACTTCTTTGTCACTGTTATTCAAGTGATTTTCAGATGACATGATCGATAACTTATTGACGTGGTACTGAAATAAAGTAATTGAAAACTAGTAGTACTTTTTAATCCTGCCTTTTAATATATATATTAAATATGGCGAACATACCTCATACCCCTGCCTCCTATGTTCCCTGCAACAATAACCCGGTAAGGTGAGTTGGGCTAAAAGAGAGTGACTGGCCCAAAGTCACCCAGCCGGCTTTCATGCCTAAGGGAGACTTAGAATCACAGTCTCCTGGTTTCTAGGCCAGCCCCTTAACCACTACACCAAACTGGCTCTTGTATTGTTAAGTATTGTTAAGGAAACACCCTTTCCATTGTTAAATCAAATGCTAAGCAAGAAAAGAAATAGTGTATTATAGCCAAGTGGCCATAAGTAATGCTTCAATATTTTGTCTCTTTCTCCCTCTCCTCCTCACATTTGTAATGAGATTTTCCTGCCCAATACTCATTCTTAACACTTCCTAGTAAAATAAGAGTAGATGAGTATGTTACAATTTCTTCCTGCCACACCACCTGCACATGCTTTTCCCTTCTTTTCCTTTTAACTTGCAGCTTGTTCTTTTATACTAACATGATCAAAAGGCTATAAAATCCTCCTGATCTGCTCAAAGACTGGTGATAATACAATATGGCCTTCATAGCACTTGGTATCATATCTAAGCAAAAATCTGACAGCCAGAAGATGACAAGCGTGGTACATTTTTTGTGGTGTTACTCAGCTAGTATTTATTTCACAAATTTCACAAATAAAGCTCAATGCTTCTGATTGAGTAGATATCATATGAGCAGGTTCACGCCCCTTAGTTTTTCCTTTTCACTTATACGATAAGCATTTAGAACAAAAACTGGACTCATAATTTTCTTTATGTGAAAGGACTCATTCCATGGTGAATAGTCCCTTCACTTAGCAGACTACAATGAGCATAAAAATTTGTAGAAGAATATTCTCAAGTATGTATCACCTTTTACTTCTATATTTTCTTTTTCAAATGAGAGTTTTAAAACACATTCATATCTGTACCAACCTGGAAAGAAAGAGCTTAGTAACTTTTACTATTTTAGTTAATAGAGAACCTTAAATGGTATAAAGCCTTCCCATTTCTTATACTATGCTAATTCTGTTTCCACTGATGCCGCAGTATCAATTAGTGAAGCTGGATAACAAACAGTTGCTTATCTGTAACTATGCTTCTTTTAAATGGCTACTGAGCATTTACATGGTAAAATACTAATAGACTGAAAGTGGCTTTGATGTCAAAACTTCATTTCGTTTTAAATACAGTTAACATAAGCTGTTTTGGCCTCAAAAGATGATGTTGCACCCAGAGAGTTATAATAATCCAAAGGAGATTTTGAGCTCCCAGGTGGTTCGCTTTATGTATAATGCACAGAGACCACAAACAAGAAGTTCAGTGTGAGACACCTTAAATGGCTGGTATAGAAAGAAATTTCTTTCAGAAGGGAAAAAGAAAGTAAAACAAAAAATACATTAAATGTGTTATAAGTTGTTTGCCAAATGTGCTGCAGACTGAGAACGTGGAGGAAGGGGCAAAGATATTTTTGGGAAACCCAGGAATTATCACCAGCTGCTTGACAGGCTCAGTGCCAGAATCTTGTGGTTCAGTAACCTAATGTACTTGTCGTTTGCTTAAAAGCTAATAAAAAGATACAAACATGTTTGTGAAAAAAGGACCCAAATTCCTTTGCATGAGACATTGAAAGGAGGCAAATCTATTTTAGATTACCTAAAAAGGTTCAAGCAAACTTTACAGACAGAAAACAAGCCAACATTTGTTAGGACAAAATGTTCTAACTCCCAAAAGAATCCTTGCAATATATGAAATTTAGTACATCAAGGATTTCAGCATTTGCTAAGGACCCACTGAAAGGCAAAAACCAAGCTAAAGAGCCCTGGATCATCAGGCCCAACACTTACCTGCAGTGCTGCAAACATCATCATTTCCTCTTCCGTGCACTCAATTTCTTCCAAAAGAATAGCCCATTTTGATTGTTCATATAGCTGATTTATTCTGATTGCATCATACTATTGAGACATAACCAAATCATTGATTCATAGCCCACCCTAAGGACAGTATATAGTTTTTTATAACCAGAAATCCTGACAAAATTATCAATAAACCCTTTACAAAGTTTTCATTTCTACTTGCTGATCAAATGCTGTGCCACTCTGAAATACAACATTTAATGTCAGAAGATTCAATGGTCTGACACAAAACTTCCTTCCTTCTTGGAACTAATACTGTACAAACCTAAATGATTAATCATTAGCTTCACTGCTATAATTTAAATAAGCTATCTATTCCAAATATCTCTTTTCCAATCTTTCTTGTTGATGCAAAATTAGTCTTTGTCTTAATGCTGCCTTTTTAGTGGTACCCCCAAATTTTAGGATGGGATAGTCTCTGACTCTGGAGAGGGGTTGCACTCTTCCTGAAGGAGCACGATGTGCAGCCTTGCCACACTCTTAAATGTGTCTTTGTCATTCAAGGCCTCAGTGAAGTGCATTAGACCAGCTATGTCCAGTCTGACACTTGTAACCCTTTATGGCATAGAACTACCTAATCACAATAGTCCATATTAGATGTCATCTTGTTTGGATTACCACAGCACATTCTGCATGGAACTGCCCTTGAAGATCTCGACAGTACAATTAGTACAGAATATGACAGCAAAATGTATTCAGAACAGATTTCAAAAAACACACAATGCTGATTCTAAAATAATTGTTTTTGCTGCCTGTATTACAGGTCAATTCAAGGTTTTACTAATAATGTTTAAAGCCCTTACCAGTTTGGTATCCCATTACCTGAGGACTATTTCTCAAGCATGTACCTACCCATGATACCACTGGGAAAGCAGATTACATGGGGATGTGGAAGAGGGCCTTGTTGTGGCATCCAGCTTTGGAATGTCCTATCCCTGGAGGCTATGGTCCCTGAAATTATGGATCTTTTGGTACCAAGTGAAACCATAGCTTTTTAAACGTACATTTGGAAATTAGTGTTCATACACTGATCATGATTGTGTCCCTTAAATACTTCTCTATGTTCTTTATTATTCTGTTGTTATAACTGTGTTTTGAATAATTATTTGCTTTACTTGACTTTATCTTGCTTTTTATGGCTTGTAATCCAACAATTTCCTAGCAGTTCTGTAAAAAGGTTCTATCCTGATCACAGTATGCACCCATGACTACGGTCTCTAACCAATATACACACACTGAAAATCTGAAGAATATATTTTAGTTGACATAATTTATACCTTAGGATTCAAATCAAAGAAGCTGTAGTATTTGAACCGCAGAAGTAAAGCTTCATTTTCTTTCACATCTTGTTCCATAAGTGACCTTGAAGAATCTAGCCATCTTCCAAAAGAGGAAAAAATACTAGCTCAGTCATTACAAAGCAATGTTTTCACACAAACAAGCTCCAAAAATAATATTTGTAAACCTACCCCTGGTTGATCTTGGCTTTATCCAGAAGTGACTGTGGCTTATACATTTTGGCTAAGATTTCTGGGGAGGTGATTGGCTGGCTGACGGCAAGTATACCTGGATTCCCTTCTGATAAAGCACTATCTCCAAACCAAGCTGAAGTTGGTGATAAAGGACTCCCATCATGAGAATCATACGTTGGTGTCATGGTTTTGCTATAAAGCCCTGGACTTGAATATACACTCCCTAAATTGAAGAAAGATAGGGAGAATCAAATTAGTATTCCATACTTGGTCCACTGAATTCAGAAGGTAACTTATAATACCAAATAACTCCAGAACTCAACACTGTTAATGAATGCTGCAGAAACAAGAAGGGATTCCAACACTACATGCCAGGTATACAGGAACATGTGAATATGAGGTCCATACGGCTTCCAGACTGTTTAAATTCAACTGTGATCACATGAATGATGTTTAGGAAAGTATTGAGTACAGAAAGATCTAATAGTCACATATGCGATTAAGATATAACAAATTATGTATGTGATAGACAGAATCCCTCCCATTCTGTTTTTTGCAATAGGAGAACCTAGATTCAATGAAGCTGAATGGTAGGAGATTCAGGATAACAAATAATTTCTCCAAACAGCATATAATTAAATTATAGAAGCTACAATTAGAAGATGTTACTTAGATGGCTTTAAAAAGAGACTGAACTAATTTACTTTGATTTTAACTTTATGTGGTTAGTGGCTCAGGGCCCTCAAAAGTCAGGACAGATTATAAATACTGTAAATTTTGTGGTTGCCCCATTCTCTGGAAAGACACCCCTGCCCCAAATATACCTCAGGCACCAACTCTTCTCGCCTTTAGGAAAGCCATGAAGACCTGGCTCTTCCCTCAGGCATTAGGGGCCGGTTGAGTGAGAGTCCCCTTTTGGTTGTTTTGTTATGTGCTTGCTCACCATTTTATATTTATATATTGTATTTGTTTATTGTTATATGCTGGGTTTTTTTCCTTTTTGTCTTTATTGTGTTTTATGCTATATGCTGCCCAGAGTCACATTGTTTGAATTGGGCAGCTTATAAATCTAAACAAACAAACAAATGGAATATAGAGCTGTTCATGGCTATTAGTTCTCATACATGTGCATTACTTCCAGTATCAGAGACACTATGGTTCTAAGTACTTATTGCTGAGGAACATGAAAGGGAAGATGCTATTGCCCTTATATCCTGCTGTGGGAAAGAATGTGGGTCTAATATAATCCAGCAGGGTTTTTCTTATACAAGTGACAGAAGTATCTAGGTTCTACTTTCAGTTAAGCAGGATATTTCGATTAAAAATAACTAGCAAAGTTCAGGGATTTCTAGGAATGATCTGTAAAACTCTACTTCCTAGTTACACATGATATATGAAGGAGAGAAATACAAATATTTTGTACTTCTAATACCCTCTTTCTGATAGAATGTTAAAATAATGTATTTAGCACTTAATATTTATTAACTGTTTTCCCAATTAGAAAAAAAAATTAGAACTTAAATCACATATTTGCCTAGGGACATTGTGGGACCCTATAGGGCAAAACGTAACCAAGAAGATACATGAGTTTTCAGATTCATATAGATCAGAGGAGCAGGAAATAGAAAAGGAAGGAAAGAAAAGTCCTATCCACATGAGGCTCACCTTTTACTGGGCCAATGTAAAGAACATCAGAGCCTATAAGAAGGAGAGAAAGGAAATCAGAAGACAGTAAGGTGAAGGCAGTGAAAGAAATAGAATAAGAACAATAAAGATGAAAAATAGCAAAGTACAGTAGTAAGATATCTAAGGATGCAATCAAGAAAATTATGTCTAAGTTGTGGTATCATACATTTTCTTAAGTTTCAGGTGACAAGAGATAAGTTCAATAGAGAGAAGAAAGTGAATTTCCATGTTTTTGTATGAGATTTGGACATGATAAAAACTAAGCACGTGAAAGGGAAATACTACAATCAGAGCATGAGAATTTTACTACTTCAGGAAAGACATTTGAAACAGTCTTGAAAGCAGTAATTTCCCCTTTTCTGTATTCCTGAAATACACAGAAACAGGCTGTTTGGTTTTAGCACAGTGTGTGGTTCCCAGTCTCAAAACCAACACTTCTTAAAATAGTTCAGAACAACTGTACATTTCAATACAGCAGGAATTAAGCCAATATGGAATGCTATCTGCTGTTTTTACAGCAGCTTGAACAGACAGCTTATTCAAACTCTTGGTAAATTAAACTACTCTTTGTAACAGAAAATCCAGATAGTTTGTTAGACAGACGGACAGACAGACAGACAGACATGATAAAGAAAGAGCTACCACCAATCTGTTCAAATCAAATTAAAATCTATCTAATTTCTGAGTGTCCATATTTGTTTCAAACAATATAGTGACTATATTCCTATGCCATTATTTTAAGATAAACTTATGATAAATGTTCAAACAATGAACCAGGATTAAGGCCAATTCTGCATTATGTTTACTGGCTAATTAAGACAACAGGAAGAAAAGGCAAAATAAATGTTCTATTCACAAAGTATCTATTTCTACATGAAATGCCTACATAACACCATTTCTATAAAGAACTTCACACTATAATATCACCACTGACATTAAGCTTATTGTGGCTACCAGAAAATAACCCCATAAAACATTTATGCTATGAAACAATTATGTCTGGGGATTCGTTTACAGTTCAGTTTTAGATGACCTATGGAACAAATAACAGGGAGAATTTTTTTAGAAGCAATTGCTGAAATTGAATTTAAGAATGAATGGCTAACTATTTTTTTGGAAAGTATAGTTTCACTGGTTAAACAGGCAGCCACATAAATTTGCTGAATAAACAAACAAAATTTTATCCAAATATGTAAAATATGTTATAATTGGTTGCTTAACACCACTAAAATGTCACTAATATATTCAGAGATAGGGAACATAAGCTAAGAAAGGGAAAGATACAGATTGATTTATCTGGGCAATTATGTGTATTCAAATTGTATTATCAGTAAATGAAACTATATTCAGAACATAGGGAATGTGTTCATTTTTTGTTGATCTTCTCAGCATCAATGCAAACAGACACAGGATACACACACAGACATATATGAGATTACTAGCATTCGGGTTAGTTCACTTAAGCCTAATTATTGTCACTTTTGAAGCAGATTAAGGAAAACCCCAACTATTTATTATTCTGCAAAAGGTTCTTTTTATAAAATATCACTCACAGTGTAACACAGCTTGCATGAAAAAGCAATGAGCAAGCAAATGCTAGCTTCAACCTTTAACTGCGTCTTTCTTGCAAACTGTTCTGCCTAATACTTTGTACTGAAGATGCATCACCCCAAATGAATTGTGCAGCTCATTTGCATAGGCAACACTAATGTTAAGATGCAATAAACTCCTATGCCTTTCTCTTTATAAATGTTAGCTGAACAGTTCATCTCCCCTTACTTGGCGCAAGTCCAAGGGTTTTATGCCAGGAGAATCTTTTTCTATGTTGCATAGCAATTGATGCAATAGGTCTGATTACAGATAAGAGAAAAAATCATTTTGCCCACCTTTTTAACCTGATACATATTTTCTCAAAATAGCCTGTGGGACAGTAATCCTTCAAATTATGCTTTTCTTCAAAATCCTAGTTACCTGTAGACAGATGCTTACTCAAACATTTCCAATTTAGAATTACTCATTAGACCAGACACAGAATATGATGGCAAAAGGCAGCAAAGGACTTGTGAACATCTTTCTGGGAGTCCAATAGGCTCCCTGCACAGCTGAACATAAAGTCTCTCTTCCAATATATGACTGTGATGAGACCAGCCATCCTCACTAAGCTAGCTACTCCATGAGAAGCAAGACCCTTATGATAGCCATTTTATGAAGGTGCTCATGACATATTCTCAAAATTGCACCACACCACATTTTCTATATTTGTTCTTCAACAGAGTATAAAGTTTCCCTGGCTTGTAATAAAAGAAAATCTTTTTATCTTGCTGATAGAAAATATTTAATGATCCAGACTCTCAAACCAGCTAGTGAAACAAGGCAAAACCGTAATTCTGAAAAAATAACTCAGTAGAAGCTCTAGAACTTTTACAGAAATAACAGAAAAGAGCCATTTTTCCTTCCATTTTTAAGCAAAAGAAAAATAAACGTTCTTCCACCCATCTCAGGAAAATTATGGATATTCTTCTGCTCTGGGTGCAGAAAAGGTGGAGAGAGGTATGCAATTTTGGATAGCAAAACAACCCTTCCTCCTCCGTTAAGATCTTTCCATTCTTGACTGGGTTCCCTGCAGCTGCTTTTCATTAAAGATCTAAACATGAGGCTGTTACAATGGCTTTCTCTGCAGTGATTTCTAAATCCTGTTTGCTCAGTTTGTCTGAATAGGTAAAGGATGAACATGTGTAGGGTTTGGGAACTTCACACAGTCACTCTGCTTCTTACATCCTTATGTGTGACTGATCCCATCCTTCAATGTGAAATGCTCCACATGGAACAGGAAGATCTGAGGGGGAGTTGTATACAAATTTGTTTGAACATGACTAACTTTGCATATCCACGGACACTGTTTCATTCGAATTTGCATTGCACAGAAAAGTATATTTGCTATTCAAACAAATCCACATAGAACTCCTCTTTAGACCTCCTGGCTCAACATGAGGTCCAGGAATGAAGAAATAGGTGTGCATGAAGGACATTGCGGTGGGGGGGGGAGGAAGAGGTAGGTTTAATCCTGCCCTCTTCCCCACCACATCCTTCTGAACCTCATGCATTCTCTTAAATATATTAGGAGGGATCCAGTCTAGTTCTCTGCTGAAACAAAATAGTTTCATTCCTATTTAGCATAGCTCAGGTTAACCAACTCATAATGAAACCTTCCAAGTATTATATGCATTAAACACAAGCATATTTCAAAATAATCATTGTTTTGGAAAAATAAACCTAATTTGCTTCACATATTTTAACAGAAAAAGCAAAAGCTGTTACAAAACAGCAGGCTAGCTTACTATCCCACTTTTTGTGAAGGAATGCTGAGAGCAAGAGAAGGTGGAATACAAGGGGAACTGCGGATTTGCTCTCTTGTTAAGAGTGCTGATTCAGTCATTGAACAACGGTCATTTATAAAATCCAGCATGTTGAGGTAGCAGAAAGGAAAGGGTAGGGCCTTGAATAGCTAGATCTTTGCAAGGACTGCAGATATGATGTTGAGCAATTCTGATCCACTGTTTATCTGTGTTCTTAAAATCCCTGTTTTATTATTAAGAAGGTCAAAGAATCTCAAGAATTAGCATGCAATCTAACAGAACAAGGCAAACACATAGAGTAGAACTTATTAGTTGGCATTCAAAACATTTGGTTTGTATATTTTAAAGCAGGATAGACAAAAAAAAAATAGGGAAAATAGGAGGAGGGAGTATTAGGTATGTTCTCCACCTTGAGTTATTTATAAAAATAATAAAGGCGGGATAAAAAAATCTAAAAAAAAAGTGCTCTGGAATTCTTGTGTGGGCAGCAAGGACACGGTCAGAGTCCATGACTAATTTTTTACTTTTAAGTAATCTGAAATGAAGTGACTAATTCAAAATCTAATTTCTATTGCTACCATTATTTTTCAACTCTTATAAAAATGTTCACACATGACTTTTCTCTCTCAGAGTAGAGGACTATTTTCTCCATTAACATCCCAATACTGAAATTGTGCTTATAATCAGGAAAAGAGATTAGCCACAAAATAATGTTGAATAATTGTATGTTAACTGACTATACCTGAAAAAGTTGTCCTTGTCGATTTGTGGAATACCAAGACAACCCAACCATTGACTATAAGCTCCTAAGAAATCTCTTTCACACACAGACAGGTCAGCCTCTTAGTTTACTAGATAACTGAAAGCAATGATGCAGACTGGGTAATAGCTGGAGTATAGGTATGGGAATTCTTGCAATGGATCAAAACAAGCACTGACTGTGGCTTATTTGATGCCCTCCTCAAAACACAAAAAGCAGCAAAGAGTATTTACTTTTCTGCCTTCACTGCATCTATACCAAAGGTTTACATTTTTTTGTACTGTGTAGAATCTCCAAAATGTTGGAAGGGATAAGCCAGGATTGCTGTGAGCAGCTTATGCTATTCTTTGTGGATAAAGTCAAGCAGATTTGCCTTGACTTGGACTTCTACATGAGGGCTGTTTACAGGTCAGTAGTGCAGCATCTATCCTGTTGCTTTTGATATCTCTCAGGTTACAGGTCTTGACAATTTTAGACAGGGTATAGGGAGAGATGAAGGCTGCTTATTTGTTTCTTGGGAGTTCTTGGTGCTGTCTAAGCTTGGCTGTTTGCTTGCATATGTTTCATTACCCAACTAGGTAATATCATCAGTGCAAGTGAGTGTGGGTTTGCTGCCTGTTTATATGCAGTAGATTTCTTTGCCAATTTTGGTGGAGGTATAGTTTCCTCCTTAGTGGTTCCTTGATTAGAATATTGTTCTCTGTCTGATTGTTTGTCTGGTGCTGATCCCTCCTTATCTGAATGTGGGCTGCTGGAAGGGATGTGCTTTAGTCTTTTTATTTCCTTCCTAGGTTTTTGGTCTCTTTCGAATGGTGTGTAAAAGTGGTTTATCTTTATGAGTCCATTGATGGCTGATTTGTCTGAATGTCAAGCTTCCAGGAATTCTTGCCCTTTCTGACTGAGTAAACTAGCTTCATGGTTAAGGGAGCTGATCAAATGCTTCCTTATAGGTGGTGTTACCCCCTGCGTAAAGAAGGTAAGATCCGTACTGAAGAAACTCTTTTCTGACCCAGGAGATTGTGCCATTATAAGGTAATCTAAAACATTTTATTTCTGGGAAAGAAGATGAAGACCTCAGCTCCAATGCATCTGGGTGACATTAATTCATTAATTTCAATTATGCCTCTGGCCTGGATATGGTTAAGAGTATTTTGGTTGCCTTAACAGATAATCTATGTCAGAAACTGGATGGGAGGAGCATGGCCTACTAATTTTCTTTGATACCATTGAGCATGACATTTTTCTGGACTCTTTGGTAAGACTAGGCCTTGGAGCACAGTTTTGCAGGATTCTGGTCCTTCCTGGCTGTGTCCAGAAGGTAGCTGGCAGACTACTTTTTCACACTTAGGTGACTGACTGATGGAATTCCACAGGGTTACACCTGTTCAACATCTACATGAAACTACTATGGAATATAACTTGGAGGTTTTGAATCAGATACCATCTCTCACTGCATATAAAAGTGGTTTTGCAGTTACCTGGATGTAACACTATCTCTGGTCCTAGGCTGAACACAAAACAGAAAGAAGCTAGGGAGTACCTGCAAACAGATACCTTCATACCAGTAACTGCAGCATCTCCCAGTTTGGGCATTCACACTGAAGGGAAATTTAAGAAAAGCACAAAACAGTATCCTGCCCACAATTTTAGCATATCTGGGGGAGGATGGAAAAAAGAGACTCAAACAGGACTAGACTCAGGATAACTGGCCCCTTTCATTTCACAGTAAAACAGCTGTCCTGGGAAAACAGAAAATGGCCTTTAAGGTTTATTTTTTGTGGCAGGCATACGTGAATACATACTAAGGGCTTGAGGTAAATTAACTGGGCAAAGGATCCACCCATCTATTAATCTTTAATCGTTGATACTGGGCTCCATTTTTAGGGTAAAGTAAGTTATAAACAAAAATGAGCACAGGAGCAAGGGAAAAGAAAAAGAACTCAACAAAAACAAGATTCCCTTCCATGCATGTTAACATTATTATAGCCCCCTCTTAAATTATTATTTCCTTTTCCTTGAAACCCTTTTTTCGCATAAATTGGGAAGTTTAATTACACATCCACATTTAGAAAACTGAAAACACTGGATGAAGTTTTAAAAGCATCTATTCTTTATGCTTGCTTATAACTGATAATAGTTACAGAAATTTGTTCTGATGATTTCACTGGGTCTGATGAAAGCAGACTTAGGATGCTAGTCTGAAGCATATGATTATCCAGTAAAGCAGCAAGGAAAGTTACATTTGACATGAAGTCATTTGCTGGCACATAACATCTCCAGTTGCCATTTAAAAAGAGGAGGCTAGCATTTGAAGTAGAAGACAGGAAAGATTAAATTTCCACTCAGGTTTGCTTTGGTAAAATGATCTGTTACACATTTCTCCACAAGGGTTCCTGGGACTGGCCTTGCCACATCTCAGAAGTATATCAGTAATTCCTGCCGACAACAACAACAATAGAAAAAGCTGTTTCTTTAAGCCAGCATCATATCATAATCTAAATTAGATGGATATTTTTTGCAGATCCAGCATGTACTGTATGTAGAGGTTTTCAAAGAACTCTAAATCAATATTTGGTGGAACTGCTTAAAGGAGATGGGTATAGCTTTAATGACTGTTATGCTGGTGATTAAAAAGACACTACAGCTATGCCAATGCACAACAGACAACACTGTCTTATCTACAGAGCAGTATATTACAACTGACATAGTGCTGATGGCATTCAAGGCTCTGAATAGCACATACTTTGGATATGTTTGTGACCTACTCCAAAAGTCTGAAGCTGGTAACTCAGTGCTCAATCATCTCCTCAAAAAGAATTTTAACACTGCATCTTAAAAAGTATTTTCTACGGAGGTACTTGCAGTGTGGAATTTGTTCCCTTCCAATTTCAATCTGTTTCACTCCATATTTGAAAAGCTCCTAAAGTCTTCTCTATTTTCCAGGGGTTCATTTATGCAAGCTTGCATTCCCCTCAATATCTGTTTTGGAAACATATTCAGTGCAGCAGCATCTTAGTACAATAAGCTTCACAAAGTATTTGGAAATCGTAGAATTGCCCAACTTTACTTAAATTCAGCATTTCTATTTAATCTCAAGTCGCAGAGCAAATTGTACAGGAATGCCATTCCATAATTAAAGAAGCAAAGAACAAGGCTATTTTTAAAATATGAAAGATCTGTATACTTTGTCATTAAAAAACAAACAATAAATCAAAAGCTTTTAAATTTTCTGTGATCTACCTGGGAGTAAAAGACAATAGAGTATATTTTAGAATATATAAGCTAGTACTTCAGCAGACTGAAAATTCAGGTATCACCCACTCATTACAGAATGATGAACAAATGGGCAAGGAGGAACCTAAAATACCTGCAGGGAACTGCCTCAAATTCAACATAAAGCCCAAAACAATTGTACTAGTACAGGCCAAATTATTACATGAGTTAGGCTCATTATTGAAAATACTATTGAAACAGTGCTATTGTCATTGTAGAACTGGGTGAATGGATACTAAACATTATCATTACTAAATATTGTTAAGCTCCTCAATGCATACTTTAACTTGAAATGCCATTTCTCCCATAGCCACCGAGGGATCATTTGTGACTGTACAGTTCTACCATTAGTAAATGCTAAAGGTGTTTTTTTCCCTCTAAGCCTTTTCCACAACATTCTGTATACTCATGCTATTAGCAGGGTGGGGGGTAGGGGTGGGGAAGTTCCACCTGATCCAGGTGTGATTAGTGGTCCTTCCAGCTCAAGTGTTTCATCTTCATACTGGTCATCCAGCTTTTTCTTTTTCTTTTTAGTTGGATCCCGGGACTTTCTTAAAAGAGAGAGTTCTTCTGGGTGCCTGATGTCTACGGAGGAACAATAAGAAATTACATTATAAAAAAGAAAATGTTTTTAATATTTTTGGCATTTTAAAGAATATAAAAAATGTTATGAATCCCATAATACTGCAACATGATGGTACAATAATGTTTTGTTTATAAAACTAAAAGGGTCATTAAAGAGTACCCATTACACCATTTGTAGAAAAGGAATAAAATGTAATTTGGATGGTCTCTTGACATCATAACATCTTTTTAGCTGAGTGATTCATACTTCCCCATGTAACTCTCCTAAATCTGCTCTGGAAGATTAGAGTATCCTCTGAAACAGATTTGGTGGGCACATGTAATAGACAGGATAGGTCTACTATGGGACAGATGAACTACAGGTAGTCCTTCCCTTATGACCACAATTGGGACCAGAACTTCCGTCACTAAGCAATGTGGTCATTAAGTGAGTTGTAGCTGATTTTACAACCTTTTTTGCTGTCGTTAAGCAAATCACTGTGGTCGTTAAGTGAATCTGGCTTCCCCCATTGACTTTGCTTGTTGGAAGCCCCCTGGGAAGGTCGCAAATGGCAATCACATGACCATGGGAAACTGCAACTATTGTAAATACCTGCCGGTTGCCAAGTGCCCAAATTTTGATCACATGACTGTGGGGACACTGCAATGGTCGTAAGTGCAAGGACCGCCCATAAGTCACTTTTTTCAGCGCTGTCGTAACTTTGAACAGTTAAGCAAATAATTGTAAGTCGAGGACTACCTGTATTGTGGCCCAATATGGGTCAAGAAACAATGGGGACAATCTTCTGATACAATCACTACTTCACTCTGGCAAAATTGTAACACTAGAAGAATCTATAATAGTTAATAATAGTCTTACCATGCTCACTGTTTAACCAAGCTCTGGCCTCAGAAAAAGATACCAGGATTTATAAGTTTCCCCATTTATGAGTAGTATCATAAAATCTCCTCTGTATATCAATGGTTACATAAACAAAAGGACAGACTGACAGCATTTTTCTCCAGGAATTAACATTACTTTGCTGTTTTAAATTTAGTGAATAAGCTATTTTAATTTTTTTACTCATCTAAAAATAATCTGAAACAATCCATGATACCAAAACTACTACTGATAGACTTCTTAAACTTTTGAAGACAGGCCAAGACAATAGCTTAGGAGACATTACTATGGAATCAGGACAACTGTAAAGATTATGAAGACTGTTTTTCAACATTATTAACATCTGGCTGAAAAAGAAGTTCCCACCAGTGGATTTTTTTTACCGACAATTTAAAACAATGTTCCATTAAGCAAAGGGTTGAGAGGGAGGTGATCCAATCTAAACTGCTATGAAAACTTCCTCAGCAGATTCCTAGCACATCTCAAAATAACTGAAATACTCTATTATCACTACTGCATGCCTCTTTGAAAAACTGGTCATCTGATGCAGAAAGACCTCACTGCTATCTTCTGCCTACCCAGGTGCTCTATATAATACAATCCAACGGTGCTATAACTTTTGCTTCTTTTATTTTACCCAAATACTTTCAACAAGATTCCCATGCTCTGATTCCTGAATGGTTGTGCAAGTATATTTTTCCTTTACATACATGCAACATCCCCACCCTTTCTATTGGGCCTGTTTCTTTTGAATAAATTGCAGTCTTTCAGTGCTAAGTATGAATATCATCCTATCAGGTTTTAGTGATGCTTCTCACATGTTCTTATCCAGTCTTGCCCTTTCCTTCTTAAAAATGCTAAGAATAGGATTAAATAAATATATGGAAACAATTTGCAAAATATTCCCAAACCAGTCCCTTGTGAGAAGTGGGCAATCTGAAGGCCCCTAACCACTTTTGCTGTTGAAATTCAGGAACAAAACAGTTTTTTACTAAATGAAATAAAACTTTTCATTTTATTTTATTTTAAAAGAACTTCCACCTCATCACCATATACTTCGTAGCTGAATTTAAAAAGAAATGTGGCCTCAGCCACAAAAAATTTGCCCGTCCTTGTTCCGGGACTTAATGTGAAATGTGTTTAAATGACAACACCTTTACATCCAATGGCACCTTTGGATTGTGACAATGGCAGAACTTGCAGAAATGGCTAAATTGGCTTGTTTGATTAAGGAAGGACCAACAACTACTTTTATAAAAGACCAGAAACTTCTTATGGAGTTTTTGCTGAAAATGGATAAAATTGAACCGGTGATTTCTGAATTTACTGATTAAAAAGGGCTGTATATGGGAAGAAGAGAACAACGTTATGTAATTTTGGAGGGGGAAAAACAATATTAATTATGTCTGTAACTTCTGTAAAGAAGATCAGAAGTCTCTTCTTTAAATATCTTTTTCTTTTTTTTTGATCTATCACTTATAACTTTTTCTTTTTCTTTCTTTCCTATTTTTCTTCTATATCTTTTTCTTTTTTCTTTCATATCTGTGTTTAACTTTTAACTTCATTAAAAAATCCTTATATGTATCCATGTGTATGTGTATGTATATAAACATCCAATGGCACCTTCAAGAGTATATTCTTCATTATGCTTTTTATGCATAATTACATTCATAAGTAAATCAAGGATATTTCTTGGCTTATGGCAAACCCCAAGAAGATTGCTAGAAACGTGACAGGGACTGAATGCTAAGTCCCTGTCACATTTTATTGATTCTATCTCATTTGCGGAAGACATGCTAACTCTAGTGGAATCTATTAAAGGAAGTAGCTGTGCCACACTTCATAACCCTACAGAATAAGTGGGGAAACTATGACTTGGAGTCTAAAGATCCATCAGCTTCAGTCTTGACCTAAACTCTAATTATTACCCAGGTTTAAAGGGATAATCTCTTCAGTGATTAGTAACTTGTAATGGTGAAGGGACTTGTGCTTCTCAATGTGAGCTAAGTGCTGTGAACTGTATCACTGGGAATATACACTCTCAGAAAAGCAGGTCCCATGAAAAACAGGTCACAGACAAGGGTTCAGACTAAATATAGTCTACTGGAGAAAGAAATGGCAACCCCCTCAAGTGTTCTGTCAAGCAAATAAAATGGATATTCACAAAGGCAATATCAACATGATACCAGAAGACGGACCTTGGAAGGTTGGAAGGTATCTAACAAACTACCTGGGAAAAGCAAAAGGCAATGTTGAGTAGTACTGTTGCTTATGATGTGGTTGGATTAAAGCAAAAAGGACATCCAGCTGCTAATGTGGTCAGAGAAAAAAGAAAAATTCAGTGCTACAAAGCAATATATAGGATCGATATGTGGCATGTCAGCTCAGCAAGGTAGACCAGACTAAGAAACCAATGCCATAATGTACAGGTTAGGATTACATTTATTGTAACAGCTATAATAATAGAATTTTGCAAGCCTGAATGTGCCTCTCCCTCACTCACTTTATCTTCATGTGAACTAGGGAGGGGCTTGTCTGAAACATTTTCTCAAGTTATTTTCTTGGCCTGGGCTCAAGCCTCTTATCTGATCATTACCATAGTAGCAGCTCTTCCTCCTTCAAAGCCATTCCCTATGCCCTTTACAGCATGTCAGAATCATGAACCAAGTCAAACTTGATATTCTCAGAACAGAAATGTTAAGATTGAACACTGACATTCTGGGTATCAGGGAACTTGGTATTATTAGAACTTTTATTGTGGATAAGAAAAATATACGTGGAGTAGCCATCATTATTAACAAAAGAGCATCAAAGTCAACCCCCCAAATGACAGAATGATCTCAGTTTGAAACCAAAGCAAGCCAATCATTATAACAGTGATCCAAATCTATGTCCAACCAGAGGTGCAGAGAAAGCAGAACAGCTCTATGCTGATTTGCAATGCCTTGTCAATACCTCTTCTAAATAAATAAAATAAATATGTCTTGCTAATTACAGGTGATCGGAATGCTAAAGTTGAAAGCAAAATAGAATCTGGAATAATGAGAAAATTTGGTCCTAGCATACCAAATAGGCAGGAGACAGACCAAGAGTTCTGTCAATCAAGTACAATGTACAAAGGTAATACCTTCTTCCAACAACCTAAAAGACAACCCTACACATCACCAGCTGGACAACACAAAATCAAACTGCAAAATTTCTTGCAAAATTACAATTTAAATGGAAAAAAATCAAAGTAAAACTATCAGATCAAGTATGACTTCAGCAATATTCCATACCATTATACAGTACAGATAGATATAATTAATAGATTTAATCTGATCAACAGAGTAACTGAAGAGCCCTGGACTTAAACGTGTGGCATCATCCATAGTGGGGCTCCTCGGGAGAACATGCCCTTGTTATCTCCCAGATAGAGTATTGCAATGCGCTCTACATGGCGCTACCCTTGAAGAGTATCTGGAAGCTTCAGCTGGTCCAGAATGCAGCTGTGCGAGCTATTTTTGGGGTCCAAAGAAGGACCCATATAACACCATTGCTCCGTGAGCTGCACTGGGTACCAGTTTGCTTCTGGGTCCAATTCAAGGTGTTGGTTATCACCCTTAAAGCCCTACATGGCATGGGGCCAGGCTACCTGAAGGACTGCCTCTCCCCCACAATTTCAACCCGTCCCACCTGATCACACAGAGAGGGCATGCTCCGGACCCCCTCAGCAAAAGAACTCCGACTAGCAGGGTCCAGAAGGTGGGCCTTCTCTGCTGTAGCCCCTGCCCTTTGGTACATCTTGCCCCTGGAGGTGAGACAGGCTCCCTCACTCCGGGCCTTTAGGAGGGACTTGAAGACCTGGCTCTGCCATCTGGCCTGGGGTGGGGAGGTCATCAGATATGGGGTTGGCTAGACCCCCAGAGGCCCGGTGTTGCTTCCATCGGCCTCTTGGATTTTCCCTTTTTCTTTTATTCTTTGTAAATGTGTCCTCTTTAAATTTTAACTGTGTATTTATTTTTTGTTTTAATATGTTGTAAGCCGCCCAGAGTCCCCCATTGGGGGGAGATGGGCAGGGACAAGTTTAAATAAATAAATAAATTTGAACCTGGTCTTTTGTGCCTCCAGTGAGCACTCT